GAAGGTGTCATAGCCCTTATCTTTGAGCTTGCCATACAGCTCCGGCGTCATGCCGATTCGGAGACACCTTTCTTGAAAAGCAGCCTCCGAGTCCAAGGTGGCCGACGTCATGGCTGCAAGCGATCACGATTAAACCCCCGAGTTCGGTGATCTTGGATCAACGTTTGACAGGTGATGCTCTCGTGCCAGCAACCATCATGGTCATCCGCTGTGAGCCACGGCCGCAATAAGGGCAGCTCAATCATCCACCCGTGCCACGGGCCAACCCTGGCCGGCACAAGGCGATACACGATCACAAGGCCAGCCCCGGGCATCGTGAGATACCGGCTGACATTTGCATGTGGTGACTCGGACTTACAGTCATCACCGCGTTAATCAATCCCAGCGCTTCTCTCTCAAGCCGTCATGGGTCAAACCGACAAGTTCTGTCGTCAGATATATCACTCGGGTCTCGGGTGAGAAACTCACCGACCCAAAACACAAAGGGGTATGCCCAACCTGGCGTATCAGCCCTATGCCATCGTAGCGCCATAACTACACGACCGAGGCCACGGGCACAAAAGCCGGCCGATCAGCATGGACTGTTTCAAGACTTATGAGGCTTCGACAGGTCCTGGCATCCCAATTTGTGAATGTTGCAACCACTCGCTCCATACGGCTTTTGTCTGCGGCTTTTCAGACCTGGTCAAAACTCCGATGCCCGACGACACTGAATACACGGCTCGGGCTCCTCCTCGTCTTCAGTGGTGAAGACTCTGTACCTAGAGGTGACCGGCCTCCCGCAAAAGAAGCTTGAAGCATCCCTCAGTTTGTGCACGATGTTTGACAGGGAGTGGATCATCAACTGGTCAACTGTGCATTCTGTAAAGGGGAGCCTTGATCCCGTAGCCACCGTTGGATGCCCGAAGAACTCCGCCTCGGACTCGGCGGACCTAGAAGCCAGCGACTCCAGCTCGTCGGGATCCTCGTTCGGGGGTACCGGGGCGTCTGGCTCCGGGCGGCTGAAGTGTCTCGACGCAACAGCTGCAACTCTGTCAGAGGTTGACATGTCGGGATCAAAATCTCCAGCCCTAATGCTCTCGAAAAGTGCAAGGAGCTTACCTGCAAGGGAGATGTAGTACTGGCGGGAATAGATGAGGTTAGATGAACCTCCCCGTTTGAAGTGATGCCCAAGTAGCAACTTCTCCTTGGCACTAAAATGGACTGTGGAGCTCCACCCCACCCATGAAAGCAGGGTAGCCTTCAAGCTGTGGGTACCAATCGATTCGTCACGGGAGGCCCCCATGTCAATGGTAAGGAGGAACTCCTCAAGGAGGTCTGATCCCTCCTCCGAACTCATAGGCACCGTTGCCCAGCAGTTGGCTCGCTGAGACCACGACGGAAGGCACCCCGCCGAGAAGTCAAGGCCTTCAGCAGTACGGGCATGCAGCCACAACTTTGCCCAAGGCTGGCCGCTCGCCCCCTCAGCCACGCATACGTACGGCAGAAATTTCGTTTGGGCGTCAGCCGTCAATGACGTCTTAGACCCCAGACCTGACGCAATCAAAAGTTGCCCACGGCCTTCTCCCACCAGCTCGAGTCCCTTGACTCGCTGGCCATCCGCCCAGCGGCAACAAGAGTGCAGGCAGAAGAGCATGAAGCCGAGCACGCATTGTACCCAAGTTGAAGTCTTGGTCATCAGCCCCTCCAAGGCTCTGACCCTCGCATAAGATAAAGGATCTCGCTGCTTGAGCGGTTCTTTGTGAAGCTTCATGTCTCTTGCAATGCCCCGCACCCTTGAAGATAAAATGATGTCCAAGGCCATGAAGTTGAACACAGCCACCCCGTGCAGAAATCCCAGAGCTTCCACGAAGTGGGAGGCAGTCGAGGCCTTGGCATCCGAGCTGCGAAGCTTGCTGAAGATCTCATAGGCCTGGGGCTCGGTCAAGCGCCAGGGTGACTCAAAGCCTAGGTCATAAGCCATGATAGCCAAGGATTGCAGCGAGAGGGCTCGTTTCTGGATTGTCGTGGAGGCCTTGGCACGAAAGGCATCTGCAATGCTAGAAGCGATCACCTCGTCAGGCTCCAGACCCAAACCTTGTTTGAGCAGGCTTGCCCCAAGGCGAGTAGCTTCCGGGTCTAGCAATATCAAGACCTTGAAACGTTTCAAGGCCGCATCTCGAATGTCGTCATCGCTCTGGGTTAACCGGACTCGCGTCAGGCGACGGATCACGGTCCAAGGTATTTCACTGGCGGCCTCCGGTGCGGGCTCTGCCGAAGACGCAGAACCCATGAAGACTTCCCTTACCCCCACTGCAGGCACAAAACCAAAAACTTCATCATAAGACTTCTGAAGAAAGGTCTTGGGCTGGCTCCAAGGCTGCGAGGGCAGATCAAGTCGTCGCTTCTTGCAGAAGGCCACCGTGGCTGCCTGTATTGCATCATCATCCGCAGCGGCACCACTTAACCAAGAAACTGCCTCCCCCCCCTGGACAATCCCAGGGGGAAAGGCTTCATGAGGTTCTGTCGGATCCGTTTCCCCTACCTGAGAGTACCATTCCCTTTCCTCGGCAAGGGAAGGTTCGTAAGCTAAGTCTGAAGGTTCCTTATCCCACGAAGCATGGTTGGCAAGACTCCCGAGATCAAAATCTGAAAAGTCCCTGTCCTCTGAAAATACAAACTCCCGAGGGCTGTTGCCCTCAGGCTCCCTCTCATGTAGCAGGTTCCAAGGAGAACTCGAGCGGTCTTGATCGAGGTCCTGGTCTTCGTCAATAATCTCAACGGATTGACCAGGCAAATCGCCAACCGTAACCCCGAAGTCCCGAAGTCCCCTAACACCCCCGGACACCGACTCGGGACCGGCCGAAGGCAATCCTGGCGGCAGGGACAATGGCGGCTCAGGCGGGAAGGGTGCCGGCTCAGTCGGAGCGGCGACCTGCGGCAGAAGCTGCCCTGTAACAGGGCACGTGGCTGGCGCCGACTGAGGCGCAGGAGTTGTCCCGTCCATCTAGCGCCCCCAACAGGGGGCACTGTGCACGCAGCTAAAGCCCTGAGATTAGCACCTGGAGGCTGTTAGCTTGCACAATACGGGACTGTAGAGGCCTCTAAAGAAAAATTTCTTGCCTCTCTCTTTGAGCAGACTCGCGGGAAAGCCAAAGGTATCCGATCTGCTTATTCAAAGACAATGAAAGTTCTCATGCAAGAAATGTTCTTCAAAACTCACATGCAAAACACGGCAGCTCTGCTGCCTGTCAGGTTTTTAAAAGAAAGAAAAGTCTGCAAGCAGAAAATGTTCTTCACTGCTGTAGCCTTGCGTGACGTAGTCAGTCAGTCGGCTTGCACCTCCTTTACTAAACCTAGAAGTGTGTCTCAAGGCGCGTTTGGGTTTTAACGTGGTAGCGGAGCTCAAGGTTGCTCCTCAGAGCCATGGACCCACGAGCCGAGCCTAGCCGCGACCGTTCCCGAAGAGGACGGAGTTCAGGGCGGCGGAGGGCCATTCTGATGGCACGCCGACCGACGACATACGTCGTTAAGGTTCGACTGCACACACCAGAAGTTCTCCACATTCCACACTCTTTGTGAAAAACAGAGCGCGCAGCACTCGGTCTTTTTCTTGAGCCAAAGCGGAGTCGCGTCGGGCTCTGACTGACAGTGAAACACCTTGCAGCTGTCTGTCTCCAAGCAAAACACTTCAAGCACTAACGAAACGAGACGAAACGAACGTGCAGTCACTTCCTAACTCAAAAGCACTCCTCACAGCTTCAGGCATGCCGAAAACATCAGGACATCCAAGGTCAAATGGGATTTTCTTCCCGAGCGTCGAGCAATCACGCGGCTCCTAGGCCAACTATACAGCTACAAGCAGCTACCGATCTAAGACAGCCTAGCTACGGAAGCAAAACCTCACATCCCGAAGGGTATGAGGTCTTGCTGTTGCACGCAAGCCAGCCAGACTGGACCGAGTAGCAGGTGGGAGCCGACAAATTCAACGGGCATGCACGGCAGGCCACCTCAAGTTTGAAGGCCACAAGCCTCAAAGTGCGTCGCCAAGAAAACCTTGTTTCGAAGACCAGTGGCAGCAGCCTTTGTACACTACGTACACCTAGCAAAACTACCGCCGGTCGACCTAACTACAGAAACTAAAGCCGCCTGTACACAGCGCAGCAGGCGTGGTATGAGCACGTCAAGTGCCCACACCACCAACCTGCTTCAGCAGCCACCAGAAGAAGTAAGTCTTCCTGCGTTTAAGTTTCCACTCCCAGCGCCGTCTGACACACCAAGCTGGCAGAGTAAGAGAAACCACGCATTAAGCACAGGCCTCCAAGCCCAGCGAGGATGGAGACTAATAATTCTCCTCTCGTGGCCACAAACCGTTTCAGCCTCTGTAGGCTTGAAGTTTAACACACAAGACCCAGTCCATGTAGCAAGTGGCATATTCATGCTGCAGTTGCGGCCGCAACAGTCAAACGCACTCCAGGCTGAGAGTTTGGAGCAGCGACGGCGCACAGCAAACATGTGCAACTCTTGTGTTGTGTTGGCTTGTCCTGACTTTGAGGTTGCAGCCCAAGCGCACACCTATACACTAGCATACAGCAAGGGGCCCAGTCCATTGTTACAAGTGGCATATTCATCAAACTGAAGTTTTCGGGTGCATCACAAGCGCACACCGGTGGCAAGTTTTAGGGTGCAGCACAGGCGCACACCATGCAGAAAATTCCAAAACCCCAGTTGTTTTTGTTGGCAAATAAACCCTTTGCACAAAGGGTGCAGCCTACAGGCGCACACCTGGGCACTAGCAACCAGCCAACTAAGTCAGTTGTACAAGTGGCATATTCCTCATTTTGAAATTTGCGGGTGCAGCATACAAGCGCACACCGGTTGCAATGTGCAGCAACCGCACATCATGCCGATATTTTAGTTTTGGTAATGGCTTACAGGCCTGACCGAAGGTTGCATCCAAAAGGCGCCCACCTATGCACACGCATATACATGAATGCGCCATTTAGGTTGAACTAAAAACCTTATTTCATGGGGCCAAAAACCAGCATGGATTGCTTCAGCGCGGGCACGGACTCCTTGGTTGGCCTAACCTCCCTGGTCCCGTCGAGCTCCGCTGGGTGCTGGGATTCCTCGCTGGTCGGTTTTTGTTTAACCTTGGTTCCAAACGGGATTCTAGCCTGTGTTTTTTGAAGGGCAGCAACAGGTTTTGGGGTCAAGGTTTTTTGCTGGACGTGTCCCTGCTTAGCATGATGGCCGGATTTTTTCGGCGGTCCTTTACACGACCCTACAAGTGCTTTCACAGCTTCTTCTGAAACAGGTCGTTGGAGTTTCTCACACTTCGTGCACATCCAATACACCCCCAAGTTAAGCATACTATGACTGGGATGAATGGACCACTCAGCGGGAAGTGAACTCGCCTGGTCCTTGCAGGGGTGTTGCATCAGCTTGTCAAAGCGTTTCTGTAACAAAATCTGTTGCACATACAAGCCGCAAATCTCACACCTCATGGTAAGGTTGGTAGAGCCCTCGGATCCCAAAACCCAGCGATGTCCAAGAGTGTCAACAGTGCCCTCGATGCATGCAAGCATTCGCTGGCGCTTATTGAGGGTGGTAGGTTTGGGCTTAACAAAGACAGGATTAGGGATCACTAGCGGCTGCTCGTGCTCAGCTGTTGCTTGCTTGGGCCTTTCTAGGATCCATGGCAACATGCCGGATTTTCGGTGCTGCAAAATGAATGAAATTTTCTTTGCCAAATGCAAAGAAATCTCTTTGCAAATTGCATCAACCTGTTTGAGCCAAGGCGCATGCTCCCACGAGTAGGCCTCGGCTGACACTTGGCGGCAGATGCCATCAACGTCATCGTTGATAATCCGTCTCCACTCCTGTATGTTATGCTGCTTGAAGTAAAGCTGGTCTTTATGCGAGGGGACCCAGGTAACTTGTGCGCGGCCCTTTTGGTGCCACACGTTAGCCCACGGAATTAAGCTATCCTGCGGTGGTGAGGATTTTTTCAAGATTTGCGTGACACTCTGACAGTCGATCGTCACGTCAAAATCACCAGAGACCCATTGGAAAAGCTCCAAAAGAGCCCTTTGTTCCGCAGCAGGCACCGTGAGGTCTTTTTCAAGACACGAGATGCTAGCAACTCTTTGAGGGCCGTTTGGAGTTAAAGCGTATGCAGCAATGGCCCACGACACACACCTTAATCGGTCGTCAGAGCTGCCCGGACCCCCGGAAGCATCGGTAGCAAACACAAAATTGGAAGCATCAAGCACACAGCCTTCCTTCCACAACCCATCGACGCGGAGGCCCCTCTCGATACCTTGGTGGAGCTGCATTCTCGTCTTACTCCATGGCACAAGACCCCGGAGCCACAAGCTTTCCCAAGGAAAATCTTTGCGCGCCTGTGTGAAATGGGGAGGCTCCGGGAATTTGGTAGTCAGGGCTGGGCATTCCCACAACACATGCTGAAGATTCAAACGGCACCTGCACTGCTTACAATAGCCAGGTTTGGACTCGCTCAAAAGCGCCCCCTGCCAAAGAGCTTTGAGACTCACAAGGGTGTTTTTGTTGAAAATTTTTGTTTTCAAAAGCTTCTTAGGCATAGTCAGGTCAACACCCTGGACTAGCAAGTGGCACCCTTCCAAATCCGAAATGCGTTGCCTGACCTGTAACTGGTGCAAACCGGAAATCCACTGCAGCACCTGACGGCAAGTGTCCTGTGCCTGCCAATCAACCTGAAGGGAACCGCTGTTGTGACGCCAACGACAAGGCTCGGCCGCATCAACACCCAGCTCACTGAGATAGGCCTGTGTGGCGGCGAGAGGACCAGCAACTCGCAACCAAGGGTACTTGCCCCCATGAAGCCTTTGCCACTGCGACCGCCATGCACTGTGGAATTTGTCATGTTCCTGAAGGGCCCACTTGTGGAAAACCCTAGCCACTGCTTTAAAATGGTGCCTTAAAATCGTAGCAAAGGGATCCTCACAAATGTGTCCCATGACCGTGAAAACCAAGTCAAGTGATCCCAGCTTTTGACGCCCGAGATGCTTAGCCGTAATGGTGCGGTACCACCTCCGGCGTTTCGGCGAAACTCCCAATGCTTGGTGCCCGAACAGACCAGCCATCCATAGGGAAGCGCGCACAATTCGGATTCTGTGCTGCTGGTTCGGCACCCGCAACTTACACAATTGGGCGTGCCTGGCCTTGGCTTTTTGACGCCTCTGCTCTGCAAGCCCCAAAATGCGTCTTCGGACCCCGCCGGAGGTGACACCCAAGTCTCGGGCAAAAGACTTAACGACAGGGTCCATGGGGCACCTAAGCTTATTGAGGGCTGTGGCTGCCTGTGCAGTGGTCGCCACAAAGCAAGTTTTGTCCATGGAGAGGCTGGCACCCCTGTCGATCAGAGAGCGACGGAGGGTTCTGAACAGTTTAAGGCTTGTGCGGGCAGCCGCTTCCGCGGAAGAATCCACTGCATCAAGACTCAGATCATCAACCCAAACGTCCAAGTTCGTGGCTCCAGTCTTAGAAGTGATGCAAGCTGCAACCGGGTGGATGATTAGTTTTGCAATAGAAGGTGCAGCTGGGCAACCAGCAAGCACTCCTTGCAATGGCCAAATTGGTGGTGCAATGGTACCCTCGGATTGCAAAAACCTAGGCGCCGAATACACTAACCAGGCCTGGTGAAGGATTAGAGGCGGGTAGCCAAGGTCCAAGCCGGTCCTCAACATGTCACTGAACCTACATCGATCGTAGAAGTTTTCCAAATCAAGAAATAAAGTGATCATATGTGACTTGGCGTGACGAGTGGCCTCGCCACGCAGCAAGCGTCCTAATGCCACATCCAACACTTGGGATCCTGGCAGGGCCTTGTCCCAAGCCGCTTTAGAGGAATACGTCACCTGCCATTCCGAAATTAAATTCCACCGCAGCCGGATGTACGAACGGTAAAGGAAATGGAGGAGAGCAATAGGACGCTCTTTCTTGTCACTCTTAGGCAGCAAAGAAACGAGTGCTACGACAACTTGTGCAGGCCACTCCGCTCGCATCTCACAAGAACGCAAAAAGTCCAACACCGCTTGAATGGCCTCTCCTGACATGTTGCGCAGCATGTCTGCCGTCCAACCGTCGACGCCTGGGGCTTTCTTGGCTGCTTTACGGAAGTACGCGGTGGCCCGCTGCACAGAGATAGGAGGTAAACTTTGAGCCTGGGCGATGGCTCGCTGTTTAACTTCCTCAGCCAAATGCACATCAACTTCCCCAGCATCGGCATCATGCCAGACTGCATGCCACTGGCGCCAACGCAAGTAGATGCGCTCCTGCAGTGGTGATTTCAGAAAGGGCCTCAACGTTTTGCTTTCATGCTGCTTGACACTTTGAAAAAGCGGTCTCATGCCACCTTTGCTGGACTGGTCAAGCCATTGTTTGTAGGATTTAGATTGCGCCTGCATCCAAAGTTGAGTATTCTGCTGCAGCTGCTGACGGACAATTGGCACAAGTGAAGAAAGCAGATCATCCGAAAAATGGGCAAGTAAGTCTGCAACCTGTTGCGAGCAGGCTTTGGCGGAATCCGGGTCGCCGTGCCAATATTGGATGATGCAGGACACAACCTGGGACCCCAAGGGACACTTCTGAGGGGTTTTCTGATACGCTTCCAGCCACGAAAGCAAACGGCCCCAAAATGCGCACTTTTGACCTCCCCAACCTGCACCTGGCCTGCCTTGCACTTGCATGGGTGCCCGAGTCACAGGGATATGCACGCCACGGCCCTGGACGTTGCCGAAAACAGATTGTTCTACTGCAGAGGACAGGTCCGCAAATTGCTGGGCAAATGCACGATCCTTAATCTCAAGGCCAAGCACACAAAGATTGTGCTCACTTTGCCGCGGCTCAAACGTCTGCGCCTGCACCTCCTGGGGTTTAAAGGGCTTTACTTGCGGAACGCTGAGCAGGACGTCGGACACCTGCCATTCCCACTCCAAAGCAGCATGTGGCTTGAAGGGAGTGAGCCACTGAGAGCTCACCCTCACAACATGTGACAGTGACCTGGAAACCAAGCCAAAATCAATGCGGCCTCCGCTAGCAATTGTGGGGCCTTCGGGGGCTAACCAGGCTCCCTTCGCTTCTAAGGCAACGTTGGTTGCAGACAAAGTTTCGAAATCATCATTAAAATCTCCTGCCGCAATGTATGAACCCCTAACCGAGGCAAGGAAAGGAATCAAATGCGACATCACAGCAGAATTGGCAGGGCTCTGAAAGCCTTCACCGGACTTCAAGTAGATGTTCACCAGGTAGAGGTCGGTGCCTCGTACCCGCATGGCAACAGAGTGGAAGCCCGCACCTTGGTGTGCAAAGTGGGCCGCCTGCCTAACGTCAAGATGCTTCCGGACACAAATGGCAAGCCCTCCGGAGTAGCCTCCTTTACCGGTGGCAATAGCAGGTAGCTGGAAGGATTGGAACCCATGTTTCCCGACGGCATTTGCAAGTTGCTCGTGCTTGTCCTCTGGTAAATGAGTCTCTTGCAGCAGAAAGACGTCTACGTGCTGGTCTGCAATCCAGTTCGCAACGTCCTTGCGCCACACGGTGATGTTGGCACTCGTGACACGGAAGGTTCTAGGCCTGGAGGGCTTGTTCAGGTTGGCAATGACATCTTCCGAGGCAGAAATAGCCAGCATAGGCTCATCCCCGTGGCATGCCTGCATGGCCAGGTCTGCTGCGAACCATGGGAACGTACCCTCCTGGATTAGCCCCTGGTCCTCAAGCTTAGAAACAATCTCGACTACTTTATCTTCCTGCAATGGCTTCAATGCCAGTTGAAGTCGCTGCCACAGCTCCAGATGACAGTCAGCCTTCGGTGGCCTTTGTTGTTGCCGAGGCGCACGGGTATGTACGTGCGCTGTCTGTCTGAAGGATGTGGGCTCGCAGTGCTCGCCACGGTCCCGCACACGATCAAGGGAGTGATGGCATCTTGCCCGAGCGCCGCCGACAGGGCGCACATCGAGAAGTTCACCCACAAAAGGGCCCTCCAATGAGCTTTGCCGTGAGCTGGAAAAGCCTCGAAGTGTTTGGTCATGATACCCAATTTTTTGTGACAAGTTTTCCCGAGTGCTGCCATCAAGGCGCACATCGGGGCTCTGCAAGGCTGCATTGGGCACCTTATTGATATCCAACACGCTTTGCGAATCTGCTGCACTTCCAGGTCCCCCCAAACCCCTTGGCCAGCGGCCCACCTGTTCCGCCAAACGCCTGCGCCTGTGCCACCTGAGCACAGTGCCTGGGCCGGCCTCTGGGCAGCAACAGTCGAAGTCTGCGCAGGTGTCGACACAGCCGGGAGACAAGAGCCCGGCTCTTCCACACGATAACACTTTGGCTGCAAGGAAACCTGAGTAGCATCTCCATCGGACTCATCACAGAACTCAGCTGTGTTATGGAAATATTTTGGCCCTGTGAGGATGCCTCCTCGTGGTCTGGCCAAGGGCTGGGACTGGCACTGCCGATGCCACATGCACAAGCACTCAGGACAAAAATGCCAACAGTCATGGATTGCACTGCTAAGCTGCAACTGAGGCTCACGGCAGTGGACCTTCCAACATGCATGGAGAAACTGAGCAACCTCACTATTCTGGGAGCAGGCAAGAACCGGCCGTTGACCGCATGCTTCACACTGCACTGGGAAGCGAGATCCACTTGCACTGGACTCCACCGAAACAACAGGCAACCAATTCAGGTGACCCTGAAAGCCACAAATTGGGGTTAGGGCCCTCCCAGGGAGGGACAGCACACGGGTTAGGGACCTGAATTGCATCCTGGGCCTCCAGCCTCCAATTGTCGGTCCAGATCGTGCTCTGAAAACTGCCCCCTTCCCGGAGGCCTTTAAAGGGGGGTTTGGAATTCGCATTCAAAGGCCTTTCCAGAGAAATTGTTTGGTGCTCTGCTAAAGCAAAAGGTTGGTGGCTTGATTGGTGGAAACAAGCCCTGACCCAACACCCTTCTCGGACTCCCGAAGTGGACGGAAGCAGAATCTCTCCCTTAATGGTGGCCTCACTGCCAGTGGAGTAACGGATGATGCACTCATCGCCAGCCTCACCGCCCCTTAAACCAGGCTGCAAATTGGGGTTCAGGCCCTCGAAACTGAGGGAAGCACACGGGTTAGGGTCTGGAATTAAATCAAAAACCGGCTGCCTGCCGCCTGATTCCTGCCACCTCCAAGGAAAGGCCCTAGCCCAAGCACTCCTTGGCACCAACTTGCGTGCAGGCTTGCTGGCAAGGATGTTGGCTGCAAAAACTCTGTGAACAGGTTGACCTGAAAGCACATACGGATCAATAAATGCATCCTGCCGCAGTCTACAGTGCAAAGTTTCGTCCTGAAGGCAGTGTTGACACAGGGGTTGCACGATAAAGCTCGGGCAAGGGAAGGGGACCGATACAGGCACGTGGCAGCATGCACAACACAACTCCGGACATGCTAGCTGCGAGCAAGCCTCCATCAAGCCGAAACCCAAGCCGGAAAACCCTACAAGCCACCCTCGAACATGTGAGGGTTCGATATGGCCTCGGCCAGGGCCATTACAGCTCGGAGCTGACGCGGCTTCAGGGCGTAGGCCCTCTCGGCTATTCGCCGCCTGGCCAGCACAGAAGGCGCACAATGCAGACGCACTCACATGAGATGTGACAGCTAGCGGGGCTGCACACAGCGGACACTGCGGAGTCAAGCATGCAACCACTTTGCGCGGAAAAAACTGGATGTTCTCATGCCTCAAAGTGCCATGCGAAACGGACTTGCCCGACGTGATGCACGGCATGACGATCTGAGGGCAGGGCGCGCAAACCTCCTGGTAGATCGAAATCGGAGGCTGCTCAAAACGATTACAAAACAACTCATCGGAAAAAACGGGTTCATCCGGGCGCTCCTCCGATGTTTGCACAGGAACAAAAGATGCGGCCACGCACTCGCCAACAAGGGAGTGACGGCAATGTTGCAAAATCTGAGGCTCGGCGCAGGTCTGGGGCAGGAGTGCTAAAGCAGGGGCTTCAACAAGCGGTAAGCAACCCAAGGCATCAGAAACCTTTCTCCAGGAAGAGAACCAAGGGGCCCCTAAACCACCCACAGAACCCAGACCCTCACCCTTTTCCTACAGATCCTCCTTGTCGTCATCTGCATCCTGCGCCTTCCGCGGCGACCTCGAACGGGCGCCGCGCTGGCCGTTCGGCAGCTCAGGCTTCTTGGCTAACTCTGTCGCGCGTGGTGCCTCCGCCTTCAGATTTGGAGCCTGGCTGTCAGGAGGGGCCTGTGTGCCAGCACGCACCTGTGCAATCTGGGCTTGCTGCTCCGCAGTCAAGGAAATCCCAAACTTATCAAGAAACTGCGAAATTTCACTGTTCCAAGATTCGCTTTGGGCCAGAACTTTGGTATTGAGCTCCTTGCCCGCATCAGCAACCTGCTGCTGCGCCTCATCGATTTTTTCCTGCAGCTGCTTCATTTCAGTCAATCTTGCATGGTACTGCTCCTTAGCATGGTCGATACGCTTTTGCAGGCTGATTTTCTTGTCACCGAGCAGCTTCAAAGCAACAGTAGCCTTACGAAAGGCTGCATTGGCCGCTGTTCCAACCTCATAGGAGGTAGGTGCAGGAGTTTGCTCCGGCGGCTTGAGGCCTGCCTTGAGCATGAGCTCTTTCTGCTGCTCCGTGGCTTCAGACCACAGCTTCTGCTTAGCCTCGCAGGCCTCAGATGCATCCATGTCAACATCAAAATCGCCGAGACCCGGAGGCGGAACAACCGCTGCCGCGGATGGAGGCCTCCACCCGGCTTCTTCGATCGCCAGTCGGGCTTCGGGAGTCAACTTCTCCCACACTGTGTGCAAAGCGAGTGCCGCCTTGCCGGGCTTTCGCTCCTTACTCTGCCTGGGCGGCCTAAATGAGGTCTCAGATGCCTCATCACCGCTCTGTACAAACCTAACCTTAGGCTTTGCCTGTCGAGGCCACGCTGCACCACAAACTGCACAACACGGGTGGGCTGAAATGCGATCAGCATACAGCCAGCTCTCTTTGCACTTCCTGCACACGACATACGGCCGGAAGCGCGACATGTCCGCGCTGACTTGCACCAGTCCTTGTGCGTCTGCTGCCTTTCAAGAAACTGTACCGCAAGAAAAGCTGGCCACAAAGGGCGTTTTTGCACGCAAGGCCCTCAAAATTTCCTTTTTCCAAGAAAATCAAGCAATCTGTGCAAGCAAGATGTTTCAGGGTTGCAAGTTGCGGTGGTGTTCAAGAAAAGTGGCGCACAGAGCGCCTGACCGGATACGGCTCCCTCCCAGCCCTTGCCGGCTAATCCGGCCTACGACCTCTACGAGGTTACGTTTGGGGTCCTGTTTGAGAGCTCTAGAATGCAGGCCTCAAGGCTGGCCACGTCGGCACCTCAAGTTTGAGCACTCACGGCAACTTGAGCCAAATGGGATTTTCTCGTCGTGGGCGAACAAGTCGCTGCCAGGCCATCGGCCGGCGGTTAGGGGTGAAACAGGCGGTTTGGCTTTGCCCACCTTTGGTGGGTTCTACTCACCAGTGGCTTCCACTGGGCTGGAAGAGCTTTGTCAGTAGCACCAGCCTTCTGAGCTACACCAGCTGGGCTGGTTACTACTGACACCAGTTCTGTAGGTTGTGGTGACTGGTTTGGTCCTACAGCTGGAGCTCTTTGGCCCAGACACCAGCTGGGCTGGTTGCTACAAGCACCAGTTACCTGGTTTTCACCAGCAGGGCTGGTACTGGTAGCACCAGTTTGGAGTTGTCCAGGCCTTAGCCTGGGCTCTCAGTCCCTATGGAAAGGGGAGGATAAGCCACGTTTTCCCCGTACCAAGTCGTGCCGGTACTCGTCCGGAAGGAGGGGCTGGCCCAACAGACCCTCCGGCGTTACCGCCAAAACGCTGGTATCCACCAGCACTTTCATGAGGGACTCAAAGTCCGTCTTGGAGAGCTTGGTCTTCGCCAGCTCTTTGAGAGCAACCGTGGTGCTCTCAAGCGACGTGTGATGCTTTATCACTGTCAGCTTTAGCTCAGCCCTCAAGGGATCGTCGATGGATTTCCAGAACCCAGTGAGGCGCTGGACGTTTGGCCATTGGGGTCGGGTTCCTCAGGGTAAGGGACCCACCCCAACACGTCCAGCATCACCATTTCCGGTACAGCCTGTCCTGGTTGTGTGAACCTCAGGCCCATATTGGCCTTCCCTATGTCCTTCACCAGGAGGATCTTCGCCAGGAGGGCCACCGTGAAACAGGCCTGGAAGGCTTGAAAGGTGCTGAGCTGTGCCGGTATTGGGTGCACCGCCTCCATCTCGATGAGGGTGACCCATTTGGGCTCCTGGTCTGCACCAGGTCCTCTTTCACAGAGCTGGTGAACACCAGCTTGCTTGGCGAGGCCTGGAGTCATGGCCCCCGTGACCTTGCACACCAAGACTTCTTGGTCTTGGGGGTATACCGACAGTTTCCATACGACCCCCGGCTTGTGGGGTGTGAACGTGACCACTCGTGAGCCACCAAGGCCAACTATCACCAGGCCGAGCCTGGTTACCCCTGAGACCTCTGTGCTGAAGTATTCAACTTCACATGCCTCAGCATAGCGGCTGTGGCATGGTTTCACGTTTTTTTTCATGGAGATGAAGAATTTCATCGTTTGGGCATAGCCCGGGTCTGGACCGGTAATGCCTGGCTTGGGGGGGAGCTCACGTTTCCTTTTTGGCTCTTCTGAGCTGCTCCCTTCCGGGGTACCCACCGGAGCTGGTGGGCTTGCCTCCTCTAGGCTTTCAGAGTCTTTCTTCTCCTCCTTTACTGCTGCCTGGTTCACACCAGGTTCAAGGGCCGCACTTTCAGGCTCCGGCTCTTCTTGCTTTACTGCCTGGTTTTCACCAGGTACGGTGGGTGGGGCCTCTTGCGGGGACATCGCCGGCTCTGTTGGGCTTAGTGCCTCCCCGGCCATCCTGTCCACCTGCCCTTCTGGGCTCTCCTCCTCATCCTGGTCTTCACCAGGTTCGCTCTGTTGCTCCTCCTTCTGCTTGGGCGAGCTGGAGGATGAAGAGGAGCTGGGTTCACCAGCTGGGCCGCCCGGCGCGGTGGTGCCGCGCCCTTGCCGTGCCCTGGCTCCTTCCCTGATTGTCTCAAGGAAGCTCGCCGTGGGCCCGGCTTTGGGAACCACAGGTTCCGACTCTGTGCCGGCTTTGGGAACCACAGGTTCCGACTCTGTGCTGTAGTACGAGTACTCAGCAGCTTCCGCCGGGCCCGGCGTGGTTGCTTCCATTGCTGCCGCCGGGCGCTTTCTGGCTGGTGGCGGCTTCGGCGGCACCTGGGTTTTGCCTTTGCCTTTTGCTGGCCCTTTTTCTTTGCTTTTGCCTGGGCC